CTGCCTATGATTACAACCTGTACGACAATGTTGGAGTTTTCTAAGTAATTAGGGTGCTATATTTGAAGAAGTTCTTGAGTAGTTTGGTCACTTCGTCCATTGGCACTTCCTCTTGGTCTTTCTTTTATAGGACTTCATGAGCACGTTCATCAAAGACCATTTTTAGGTGAAGGTCGTACTCATACTTGGAGAGGATGAGGTCCACTGGAAGACCATGGGGAGAGGTGCCGAGGATGGCCATCACATCTAGCACAATTGGCCCAATTAGACCAAGGGGAAGTACCATGGCATTGGTTATTGAGCACTAGAAGCTTCAGGCTGATGGCCATCAATAGCTGTTGATCCATGTTAATTTCAATGGTCAAGAGTTTGATAGCATCATAAAAACAGAGGTCTTTTCAGACGGCACCGAAGAGGGGTTCAGTCAACCCAAGAGGCTCGGCATGTTGGGGTTGAGGGCCACACCTTTTAGGGCTTGGCTACTTCTATTTCGGCCAATCATAGCCATTAAAGAGAGGACTCATGTTGTGGTCGTTCATCATTCTAGTGATCGTCTTTAGGGCGTCTTCTTTGAATAAAGGGCCTGTAACTTGATGATTTGGGATGGCATCTACTTCTATCCGCAACATTTTGATGGTGTTTCGTTCCATGATGTCTTGACATTTGTCGAATTCTTCAGTAAGCTTAGTGAATAAAGCGTTGGAAGTCATCTTGGTCAGGAAAAAGAGTTTCTTTGATTTCTTTGAGAGATTCTAGGAAGAAAATAGTAGACCTTTTGGGAAGAAGATGGCAGAGGTTTTGGAATACTTGAAAGCATGGGTTGGAATGAAACCTTAGTTTGACTTGTATAGGCCAACTGAATTAAAGGTCGATAGTTTTAAAATTCGAAGTTGAGGGGAAAATCCAGCCGAAATCTTTTCCAATTATTATGAATCTTTAGAGCCAGATGAAGAGGCCGACACTCCCGCAAATTGAGGATGCGCGATTGCGTGAATTGGAAAATTTTAAGACACGATCATCATGGGCAAATATTTCGGCGACTACGCGCCCTGGGCATGGGGTGCATGTATTGCCGAAGACAGACAGATGCGACAGGAAACTGCCTCGTGTCAAAGTTTTACAAAGATTAAGGTCTGACACATGGAGTGGGGGGTCTGTGTCTCATAATGCATCTTAGTAGGTGGTTGGACTTCTTCTGATTAGACCAACCAAATTACTTAGTCTCCATGATCAGTAGCAACTACATTTCCACCAATTAATGATTTTCAAGTTAAATCTTACCCGCTGAAACTAGCCGACTCATCTCCTGCCGCCATCATTTTCCTATAAATAGGAGATTAACTCCATTTGTTTTTCCAGCATGACGTGGACAAGTACATGTAGTTTAGCTATTTCAGTAGTTACATGGATAAGTACGTGGAGCTTAATTATTCTGGTAATGATGTGGATCTTTGTTTTAATTTTGGAATATAGGTAGGGGAAATATGGCAGACTTTTACAGAAATTGATTTTATTAAATTTCGTGAAGTATCATAATATTGTTGATCTATTTGATTGATTAATGTGGTTGGATATTAATGGGCTAATTGCTTCAGTTTAGTGTTTACTTGTTATTGGTTATGGAATTATTGTTGAAATGTTATTCATTGAGAATATACTGTGATACATGTGAAAGATGAAATGACATTATTTGTGCATCATTCATGTTGATGTGGTTGGGACTTCAGTGTTTAGATTGGTCTAGAAATGAGGGTCATTGGAAAGGATCTTTTGTGTAGTTGAATATATTCATTGTGAACCAAGTCCCAGGTGAGCCCCATGTGCACATTAGGATAGGATATCACTGGGATAAATTGTCGATGTGGGTGATTTAGGCTGGAGATCAATGAATTAGATAAGGTGATTAACAAAAGGGGTTTATGAACTTGGGATATCTTATGGAGGTTAGTTTGTATCATAGAATATCCAAACCACCACTGTAGTGGTAAAATGTAATGTATGAGACGTGCAGGTTCGCATGTTTTATTATAGGAATTAGCTGTTTTATTATAGGAATTAACGGGAATATCTGAAGAGGTTGCATTGCATTCGTGCATTGTTATCAATAACGATTTAATATTTGATATGGTTATGTCCCTACTAAGCTATTGAAATTCATCCCTCTATTGTTATGTAGGTTTACGAACTAGACATTGCAAAAGGCAGGCAGGATGAGATCGGATTAGATGTGAGAATAGAATTAAATTCTCCAACATGTTTCAATTTCCTTTTAAATATTTAGTTTTTTAACTCATGCTTCAGATTTGGGTTTGAGTTTTTATTGTTGACTTGGGTCTAGGGCGTAACAAACCTAGACTCTAGCAATGCTGTAGGAAACCTCGAGCAGGGGCAGTGGCATGGTGGTGTCGGTATCTTGAAAAGAAACCCAAAGCATGTGAATGAAAATGATAGAGGAAACAAGGAATATGGTGTCCTTGGATCACACTGTGGAAAACTAAATTGAGCATGATGAACCTGTTTATTTACTTTTTTTGTTTTTTTTTTTTATTATTATTATTTTTTTTTTACAGGCTTGGAGCCCCCGATTTATTGGATATGCAACTAAATTAGGGAAATTGCTTTAGAATTTTCGATACCCAACTGCCATGACTTTTGAAGCCTCTAAAAGGACTTGTAACGAAATTTGTTTTGCTTGAGGATGGATATCTAAACCATAAACCCATAGAAAAGGGTAAGTAATATTTATGCATAGTTGTTCGAAAATACAGGCAAAATACAATTTGAGAGAAAATTTTTATCTTTCCTTTTTTTTTTGGCAGCTTGTGCATCAAAAGTCTGTAAAGGCAGGAAGCCCCCAAGTTGTTGGATCATGTAGTTTGTCACTGGAATGGAGTTTTCCATGAGCTTTTACTACATGCAAAAAGTGAAAATAATAAGCAATGTTTGTGTCTCATTATTTTGACGAGGAAATGATAAAAAGGAAACTGAAGAGAGGATGTTCTTGTATTTAGTTTCTTTGGCAGCTTGTGCATCCAAAATTTGTGAAGACAGGGAGCCAGCCACTGGAAGAGTAATAACCTAGTCCCTAGTGGAGTCGCTAATTATGTTGGGGGTTGTATCGAAAACTTCGATGGACTTCGGTTGTAAAGAGATGAGTCAAAACCTTCACTTGCCTCGTTTCTGAGTTAGCGAGGACTAAGCCAAAAGCATCCCGAACAAAAAGCAAGTCCTTAGGAATGCTTTGTTTTTCTTTCAACAGCTCCTAGGTGCTCGATCTGATGTTATGTTGAGTGCTTCCAATGCCGATAAGATGCTTCCATCGGTAGTCTAATATTTCAAGCACTGATGAAGTGTTTCCAAGGAGCTGACGGTGTGTTTCCAAGAAGCTGACGAGTGTTTCCCTAAGCTCTATGGGGTGTTTGCCTAGGTGTTGATAGAGTATTTCCCTAGGAATTAACGAGTGATTTCTAGGCTGATCATGGCAACTTTAAGGAGTATTTGTTAAACTAAGAAACACTGGGAACGACTGCGTAATCATAATAAATCATGACATGCACGAATGATGCATGGTGTGGAAGCTGAAAGCCACTAGTTTGGTGTGAAAAAGAGGTTATTCTTGATTGTATGGCTTTGAAGTAGCTAATCTAGGTTTCTAATGGTTTGGTGGTTTTGTAGGAGTTAAGGAGGCTTATTGGAAGGCTTAGGACGAAAGGAAAGCTTATCCCTAGAGAACTAGGGTTTCTTGCACTTGGAGAAAGCTTGTTCTACATGGTGCACTTGCCCTTGTCATTCTTCATCCACCCACATGTTTGTGTCTTCTCTAGAGCATACTAATGCCTTGCATTTATAGAAGTAGGGGATCCTTCCAGGCTCAGTTGGGGAATCTCTTGGTTTCTTCTCTTTTTCCAAATCAATTAAGTCTTCCCTTCATCTGTCCATGGCTGCGGCTACAAGTTTTGTTTTTGGTATGACGTTGCAGAGGCTAAAAGCCCTATGAAGCCTATTTGAGCACACTGCCCAAGTTTCTCCTTTCATAGACCAAGTCCCCTAGCATGACTCCATCTTTGGTAACGCTCCTCCTTGCTTTCTCTTCTCTTTTTTTTTTTGGTGTGAGTTTGGAAAGGAAAGATTTTTTTGTTTTGTTTTTTTCCACACTAAAGGATGCGTGCGGCTCTAGGTAAACATGTGATTTGGTTAGGCTCAGGTTTGGGTTTTTGTAGTTTCCTAAGAGTTCTAGTTTGTTTATAAGGGAAAGAGAAGGGTAAATCTGTTTTCTCTCAAACATTCCCACGCGAAGCCCAAATCAAGGGCTTGGATAAATCTGTTTTTTCTCAAGCCTTCACAATTCTAATTCTACATAGTCCCTGTGAGCTTCCGTAACCATCCACACTACGAACCACTCGGCAAGCCTCGTTACATGGCTTCTGTTCATTTAAGCGTGTCGCATGCTTGGTGTGACTCATATTATAATATTAATGTATTACTATCATAACACGGCTTGGCATGGTAGATGTATGCAAGTTGCATGGTCTTGGCATCTAATAAACTATTATTTTATTAGCGTGTCATGCTCGTAAATTGGCATATTCTCTGTTTCATACTTTATGCATAGATTTAAGCTCGGCTTTGAGACATGAATGGGCTTCCAAATGACATTTTTGGGCCTCAACAGTGGATATCATGTGAATTTTCCTTAGTTAATTTAATGCAAAATTAAAAAGTAAAATTTAAATGGCTATTTTTATAGCTGTAAAAAAAATAAAAAAAAAATAGTAAAATTTGAACGTATGATCCTCCATAAAACTCGAAACTAATAGCTATATATGTTGTGGTTGTAGAACTCCAAGTTTATTTAATATTGTTAGATTTTGGAATCTTATGTGGTAATATGTTTGAAAATTGAACCTCGACCCATCAGGCCTCAGGGACTTCAAGTTTGATTTAGTTCATCCCTCAAACTGGTGGTGTTCTTTCTTTCCTGTGTATATGGTGAATAATTCATGTGGAACCAAACTGCAAAAATGCGTGAAACTGAAACTCTTGAAAATAGGATGGTCGAAATCCTATCCAAGTTGCCAACCAAGTCTCTAATGCGATTCAAATGCTTACGCAAGTCTTGGTGCACTCTCATCAATTGTCCAAGTTTTGTGGCAAAACACCTCAACAATTCTGTGGACAACAAACTTTCATCCTCCATTTGTATCCTTTTCAACCGTTCTCAGCCTCACATTTTCCCGGACCAGAATTGGAAACAAGAAGTTTTTTGGTCCATGATTAATATTTCCATTGGTAGTGATGAGCACAACCTTCATTATGATGTCAGGGACCTAAATATACCGTTTCCATTGGAAGATCATGATTTTGTTCAAATTCTCGGTTATTGCAATGGGATTGTCTGTGTAATAGCAGGGAAAAATGTTCTTTTATGCAATCCTTCAACAAGGGAATTCATACAACTTCCCGATTCATGCCTTCTTCTACCTCCTGCTGATGGAAAATTTGAATTGGATACAACCTTTGAAGCACTGGGATTTGGCTATGATTGCAAAGCTAAAGAATATAAGGTTGTGCAAATTATAGAAAATTGTGAGTATTCAGATGATGAGCAAACATACTATCATTGTACTACTCTTCCTTACACGGCTGAGGTATACACTACGGCTGCTAACTCTTGGAAAGAGATCGAGATTGATATATCAAGTAATACCTATTCCTGGTCTTGTTCGGTTTACTTGAACGGAGTTTGTTATTGGTATGCAACGGATGGCGAGGAATACGTACTTTCATTTGATTTAGGTGATGAAACATTTCATAGAATACAATTGCCTTTCAGGGGAGAATCTGGTTTTACATTTTTTTACATTTTTCTTCGTAATGAATCTCTTGCTTCTTTTTGCTCTCGTTACGATAAAAGTGGGGATTCTCAATCATGTGAAATATGGGTAATGGACCGCTATGAAGGAGTTAAGAGTTCATGGACAAAACTCCTAACCATTGGATCCTTACAAGGCATTGAGAAGCCATTGACATTTTGGAAAAGTGACGAGCTTCTTATGCTTGCTTCCGATGGAAGAGCCATCTCTTATAATTCTATTACTGGAAATATCAAGTATCTTCATATTCCTCCTACTCTCAATAAGGTTGTAGATTTCCAAGCTCTAATTTATGTGGAAAGTATTGTTCCATTGAAGTGAGTTTGAGGGAAATGTTCCATTTTCTCCTCTTTAATTTGTATGCATGAGTTTGCATACGAGTTTGCATTTTTTAATTTAATTGCTCTGCGGCCTTCGTACTATGTTTACTTATTATGAAATGCCTTTAGTTTTTGTGCTTTCCATATTTTGTAACGTTATTCATTTTGAAAGTGTATGATAATTAATTTTTTTAGAGTTAATTAATAATAATAATTCCCTTATGTTTTTATTTTTTTTTCCTTCAAAATTCCCTTCTTAAAAACCTAATAAGTTTTTACTCATTTAACATAATCAAGTTTAACCTTCTAGCATAGAAGTGCAAACATTTGTATGACACACCCCAACCCAATAACCACATGTTATTGGGTCGTAATATGCTGGCTGTCACTAAATTAACAATATAATACCATTGTAAGATGACATCACAAGACCAACTTAATGACAAAAGCTCATAAGATAATAATGATGTGAATGAATTGGAACCAAAGCGTTCATTAATGAAATCAAAGTTAACTAAAAACCTAACCAATCTCCTCACTTGGGAACACATGTTTAGGGATACAATCTTATTCTTATCATATCAATTCAGAGTAGAAAGTAGTTCACACAACAGTTAACACAATAAAGTGTAGTGCAATGCGTAATCAAAGTACGATTATTCGATTATTACAAACTAGGTAAAAATGCAACAAGGGAATCATCACCAAGTCTGTAGGTGAAAATCTCACTCCCAAGCCCACTTGTTACTTGCAGGGATTTCCTTGTTCTCGCTATGTCTTGAGGGGTCAAAAAACAAAATGTGACTCGATCAAATTTATCTAGTCAAAATCATTCAAACATAATAATATATATATATATATATATATATATATATATTGGTGTGTGTGTGTGTGTAATACTACCATAATAGTAAGACAATTCATATCTCAAGCTCATCATATCAAATAAAGTAATTCAATCAGACAATCAAAGTAATTCAAGTTGTATAACAAGCTAGTGAAATAGCATCTACTTGACCGATGATTATCGTCTACTAGTGAATCGAGCCTCTACTAGATATATCAGTACCTGCAATAAACTACTGCAGCTAGCTATACGGTATGTATGATGACCATGTGGTGAAAATAAATGACCAATAGTCTCAAGATAACATTTCCTTTTTTTGTAGTAGCAGATCTTCAGGCCTATGGCTTTCTACTCTAGTTCAGAATCGTCGCAATTCAACAGAGAAGAAAGAGAGGAATCCAGGCGGTGGTGGTGCCAATTTGGGGTCCGATCTGAGACTCGGTGAGTATGTAAAACTGTGGTTGATTGCGTTTCGGTATTCGGTGGCTCGATGAGGACAAATGAAGGAAGATAGGGACGATGAAAGAGAACTGGGAAATTGGCTTTGGTGGCTGTCGAATAGAAAGGGAAGGAAGAAAAGGTGGCGAGGGTGGAGGAAATGGAAAGCCCGCATCCCACTGATTTTATTTTATTTTTTAATTTATAATTTTTTTCAAATTTTTAATTTCAAATATCCACATAAGCCCATATTGACATATGACATCTAATTATTGTCCATGTAGACGTCATGCTATTAGTTAACGGAGGTTCTGACGAAAAAGTTAACGAAATATGAAAATGTTTCAAAATTATTACTCTAGGTACCAAACTGGAACGAAAAAAAACTCGATGTATGAAATGTTAAAAATTAAAAATTTTAGGATAGTAAACGGAGATTGACCCAATTTTATAATATCCATGTGGGCCTATATTGACACATGACGCCTAGTCATTGTCCACATGAACACCACGTCACCAATTAACGGAGATTCTGACGGAAAACATAACAGATATATGAAAATGTCCTAGAATTATGACTTTAGGTACCAGATTGTGACAAAATAAACTTTAAGTATGAATTGTCGTAAACCAACAAGCTTCAGTGTAGTAAATTGAGATTAATCCTAAATTATAATATGCATATACATATAATAATAGTTCAAAAACATTTAGTTTACAGAGCGATCCACTAACAGGTAAGTAGAGTGTCCTTCGTCATTAGGTTCCTTGCTTGGTTCCTTTTTGATGTCATCTAAACCTGTGAATGTGACATATAGCTTAATTAAGCTTTTATGGTCATGCTATGAAAAATCATCTAAAATTTCAATTTAGGCTTCGAATTCGCACAAACGAAAGGTGCCACGTGATTTACAACACCCAAAACCTTGGGATAGGTCATGGGTCCTACATGCCCCACCGTGCTTTGGCCACACGCCACCATATGCTGCCGCGATGGTGTCACGTACCAAGAAGACATGCCGCTGCTATTCACCGCAGCCGATGACCGCGCCACTGTGATTCAGTGAATACGCACTACACTCGCTGTCGCGATTCGGTGAGTGCGCCCCACATTCGCTTTCGCCGATGCCACCCGCCAGTTGTCGAATAATGGTGATAGGGTTGACGGAATATACCTTCTCCGTTAACGAATTTTGTTATTTCCAAAGGAAAAAGTTGCCTTTACCGCTAAACTTAATGGTGACCGTCGCCGTTCACTATTGAAAGTCGTCAGAAGATCACCAGAAACTCTAGAAAATTTACGAGAGATGCACGGCTTGAATTAGCTTGGTTTCTTCGTGAAAAATAACACAAAACGCACTAATTAAAACCCTAAAATCATGCAGGAACTTACCCACTCTGATTTTAACTTAAACAAAGGTCGAATTCTCCTCAGATTCGTCGATTTTCCTTCGAGGGAGCTCGTCTGATTCTGGAAATGAAAAGCACAGTGCATGCATGAGTTGGGGTCTTATAATTGAACTCAAAACCACATACATTTCTTCCCAAAGACCACATGAATTAATCATAGAAAATGCAAACCCAGTTGGATTTGAACTCAATGGTTTTCACCAGAGTTTACTGTTACTGCCGAGTGAAATTGGGCACTAGGTGGAATTTTTGCGAATAAAAATTTTAATTTGCATAGTAGACCAGTCAAATGAGTTAGTCAATTAGTTACAACTTAATCAATGATACAAAGTGTAGTTGTAAGAACAAATCCTAATTGACCAATACGTTCAACTAATCAGAGTCTGCCTAGATTAGTTACACAATAGTAATTCCTAAACTTGAACATATTTACATATCAATTCACTATGCAAACAACGATGACAAAACAATTATGAATTAAAGTATGATGGATTAACTAGTTAAGCTCACCAATCAACTAAGTACATATTCATCAGTTAATCAAACGTAAATCTACGAATCAAACTTAGTTCACTACAAGTTATCGTATTCAACAACAATTCAGTTCATTGCTCATAATATGACTTAGTCATTAACCCATCAAATAACAATTCATAGGATGCATGAAACATATGCAAGCAAATAAGACATGTAGACAAATTTAAGAGTCAAAGAATGCAAGAAGTTTTTGGCCAGAAAAAACCCACCTTTGTGATACAAAACTAGGAACCCTCCACTGAGTCAAATCCACTAGTGTAAACAAGATTCTTACAAAGCACCACGGAAAGTTCAATTCCTAGGCCTAGTCTATGGAGCAACTTTACCTTTGTGTAACCTTACCTTACACGAGACGAATTCCTTTGGTCTTTATGAAGTGGCAGCTCCTCATGAGCTGTTCACCTTGTGGCACTGAAATGGTGTTGTCTCCAGCCTTCACAAGATGGCAGCTCTTCACACGATTAAGACTTGTCTTTCTTTCCAACTACATCCTATGGAGTCATTAAAATTTTGGAAGATCTTCTAATTGACAATCATATTATCTTAGAAGTATATATCCTACATATGGGTAATTGATAACATCCAACGAACTAAATCTTATTCAAGTTTGTTATTCTCCCAATGGAGAAATCCATTATCTTATGATGCTACTTTCCTTGATATCTTTCAAGGAAACTCTTCTAAAGTGTTATTTTTCCTTGGATCAAATCTAAGGAGATAAATCCTTTAGACGTCTTACTCATCAACTTACATTCTTGAATTCTTTGAAACCTTTTGCAAAGTATTCGGACTTGTGTTTATTCAAAATAAAATATAGTCCAACCGAGAGCGATCTTTGGTGAATGTTATACAACATGATTAGTATAATGTTGTGGACAAGTGCCACTAACATCTAAGTGAATTAACCTCAACATTTTTGTGATTCTTTCTTCTTTCTAAAAGAATAAAGATTTGAACATTTTGCCTATATAGTTTGAATAAGAAGGCACTGGATCCGGATCTAATGATCCATACCATCCATCTATGACCAACTTGTAATTTATGGTTTAGAGGTGTCACAACTCAATAGGGTTAGTCACTACCTTGTAACCTTTTGGGTTTTAAGCATCATTGTATTCTAAACAGTTAGTACTACCACATTATCTCTACAATATAGAGACAATTAATTGGATTACTATAATCCAATCATTCATTAATAAAGAACAATGTTTTGTCAAACAAAACATTTATCCATCTCTTAAAACTATAATGATGGAATTAAGTTCCTTTATTCAAATTGAAATGTAAAGACAATCATTGTTTCCCATTTTCTTTGGTAGTTCATATAAGGAAGTAAGCACTATTTGCTTTCGCAGAGATCTATATTTGATTCACGTTGAATGTGAAGTACCTTTTTCTTCTCTCCTTAATCTTCTACTTCTTATTAGCCACACTTTTACAACGATTGTAAAACGTAGTTACTAATACGGGATCAAGCATTCAAGTAGAAATATCAACTGTTTTGAACTATTCAAGAACAATTTACAACACCTTCGAAAGGTGTGTTCTTGACATATACAAGACATTTCTTGCAAATACCCCTTCCAATGTCCATCCTTTCATAAGGAAAGTTTGTTCCCTTGGAGTTATTTTGCCTTTTTCATTTGACTTCTCCATTGACTACAATAGTCATGGTCCCTAAACTTCCACTATCTCTTTTGAAACCTATTTCAATTGTGTTATACACATCAAATGATTTGGAGAGCGCGCGGTTATTGTTCACAATATAG